AGTACAAGGGCATCATCGACTGCGTGGTGCGCATCCCCCGGGAGCAGGGCGTCCTCTCCTTCTGGCGCGGCAACCTGGCCAATGTGATCCGGTACTTCCCCACCCAGGCCCTCAACTTCGCCTTCAAGGATAAGTACAAGCAGATCTTCCTGGGCGGCGTGGACAAGCGAACCCAGTTCTGGCGGTACTTCGCCGGTAACCTGGCGTCCGGGGGTGCCGCCGGCGCTACCTCCCTGTGCTTCGTCTACCCCCTTGACTTTGCCCGAACCCGCCTGGCAGCGGATGTGGGTAAAGCCGGGGCTGACCGGGTGGGCTGGGCTACTGCATCGTCAAGATCTTCAAGTCTGATGGCTTGAAGGGCCTGTACCAAGGATTCAATGTGTCTGTCCAGGGCATCATCATCTACAGAGCCGCCTACTTTGGCATCTACGACACCGCGAAGGGTAGGTTGACCGAAGTGGCACTAAAAGGGAGATGCCAGGCTGCGGCAGGCCTGTAGTGCAGGCCTGCATCTTGACAGATGCTGGTGGCTCACCTGCTGTTCTCATCAAAACCTCTCTCCCGCAGGCATGCTTCCGGACCCGAAGAACACCCACATTGTTGTCAGCTGGATGATTGCTCAGACCGTCACCGCTGTCGCCGGTTTGACCTCCTACCCTTTTGATACAGTTCGTCGTCGCATGATGATGCAGTCTGGCCGTAAAGGAAGTAAGTTTCTACCACCTTGTGTAGGAAGTATGGGGCATCCTTGAATCAATAGTTGGTGGTGGAGCTGAGGTGAAGGCCGAGTGGCTTGGCTTTCACCAAGCCATGTAGATATCCTCACCTCTTGTGAACAGCAGGGTGTGAGAGGGGCTGCAGAAGCGGATGTCAGGCGGGGTGCACGGATGGGTCAGTCTCTGCAGCACACCTGTAAGGTGGCATGTACAAGTTGGGTATCTGGCAGTAGGTAGGAACAGCAGAACTTGCCCAAGGATGTTGCAAACTAGTGTCTCTCGGCCAAGAAGAGACATTCCTGGTAGCAGGCATGGCCTGGCTGACTGTGCAATAGCTTTTGGGTCTGGAAGCGTTGCTGTCAAAGCAAACAGTAGCTGCCTTCTGCTCAAACGGGCCCTTCCAGTGTCTCCTAGGGGTAGTGCAGCAGCAGCACGTCTCCTGGGTGATCTTGTCCTCTGATGCACTAATACTGGAGAAAGTCAGTCAAGAAACGGGATGCACTTGAGGTTATGAAGCTGGCAGATACGTTAGGCCATTTCTGACCTGGATGTTGGGCATCATGGGCATCTGATTCCTAATGCTGTCTGTCTCCCGCAGCTGACATAATGTACACTGGCACTATTGACTGCTGGCGGAAGATTGCCCGGGACGAGGGCTCCAAGGCGTTTTTCAAAGGTGCATGGTCTAATGTACTCCGAGGAATGGGTGGTGCTTTTGTCTTAGTCCTGTATGATGAAATCAAGAAGTACACATAAGTTGTTTCCTGTTGTGAACTGGCATGTTGTTATATGTAGTCTATGACCGCTCATGGACTTGTTTGAAAACCGTCTAGTTACTAAACAGTGACGGCTGATGTTTATACAGGTTGGCATGGGGCAGGGCCAACTGCCTGCCCTGTCTTGATCAAGTTATTCCCCCTGACGGGACTCACCATGGTTTCTATTTCAGTCACTCCTGCTTAAAGAGTACAAAGAAATAAAAATCTGAAACCAACTTTCCTCGTCTCACGTTTGTTCTTGCAGCAGCTGCAGCATGAGTGGGGTGGAGGTCTCTGCAGTGATTGTAAAGAAGGAGGAAGACAAATCACCTCCATCCTGCACGCCTTGCTACCTGCTAACTACCTGTGGCCTCCAGCAGGTAAACACGGTGCAGGCTGCCAAGGAAGCTGTGTAGTGTTTCTTCCCCAGTGGTGTGGGCTTGAATGGGGACTAGCAGCTCTGAAGGACTCACCCAGCTGATCTCCCCTGAGGCCGCGGTAACCAGAGATGATGCACTGGCTGTGTGCCACCAGTCCTGGCTCTGGCCTGTCTGCTCCCCGGAGCTGATGAAACTTTGTTTTGAAAGTGCCAAGTGCCTAAACCTTCTGCAAAGCACAGCCCTCCCCACAGCGCTGAATGCCAGGGAGGCTGGAGAAATATCTAAGGGGTATTTGCTGCTGTCCGGAGGAGCAGAGCTGGCATCATCTACTCTGGCTTGGAAACTGAGCTACCTACTCAGGCATGTTAAAATCCAGCCAGGGAACATAAGTGCAGGTAGTTGCTGCTCTTCTGTAGAGCCCCTGGCTAGCCTTGCCCTCGCATGAGGCGGTGTGCTGTGGGGATGTGGTAGCTGAGCAGAGACAGCTCCTGTGCCAGGGCTGTGCTTGCCAGGCAGGGAGCTGCGTCCCCAGGCTCATCCCTTACCCCTGGAAGTTAAGCTTGTCCCAGCCCCGAATTCTGGGGGAAGGGGGAAATTCCTTCATGCTACTGGGGCAATTTGGGGAAAACACTGCAAGACTGGGCAATGCGCGTGGCTTGGCCTTTACCCAGACATCTCTGTGGGTCTGTGAGCTGTCCCAGTGAAGCTGCCTGGGGAGCTGGGGTGGTGAGTGGGTGCTCTCCTGGTCCTCTGCCCTTCAGATCAGCGAGTCTTTCCTCACTGCCCCCACGCCATTGGTCCTTTCTGGCTGCCCAGGCCTGCTCAAAGCAGTGATTGATCTCAATCACTGAAACCAGTTTCAACCACTGTCTGAGGCAGATAAACAAGCCCTTATGTTGCAAAGGGTGGTAGTTGGTTTTATCGCTGAAATCTAAGCAGGGCAGCCAGGCATGGGAGCGCAGCACCGTCCCGCCATAGCCGGTGTTGGCATGCTTGGGTCCCTGCAAATGGGCATGTGCGTTCATGATGGGAGATGGTCTCATGCCACACTGTTCAACCAAGAGCCTTTGCTGGTGCTTTTCGACTGCCCCTGGGCTCCTGCAGTGTGAGGTTGCCCGCTGCCTGCCGTGGAAACAAAATGGGCTGAAAGTTTCCCTGTGAGATGCAGAGCAATGCCCCAAGCGGTGGGCAGCATGCTGGGGGGAGCAGGCAGCAGCCTAGCAGGGGGCTGTGCCACGGGCAGCCTTACTGGGGACCCTTCTGCTGCACAAATGCAAGCTAATTAATTAAGGGCTCTGGGCTTTTATTGCCTCCTGCTGCTAAGCTCTCCTGGATTTCAAGGGCTGTTCTAAAATGCTGCTGGTTGCTGAGTGTGGGGCATCCTTTCCTCTTTCCCCCACAGGGCACGTGTGGTCAGGCCGTTAGCACAGGGAGGTGAGTGCATCATTTCTTCCTCCACATGGTGGTGGGTGACCGAGGCGCTGAGCTGGGCCGTTGTGCCAGGCTGCAAAGGAGCTGAGCTGGGGGACCTGTAAGTCCTTAGGCCTACAGCATTTCATACTGGGCTTGGGGAGCAGGGCTGGCACCGAGTGAAATGGGTTGTAGCTACCCACACTAGTTACTGTCTTTGGGACTTGGGAAACAAGCATGTGTTTCACAGCTTTTTTTAGCTCTGGTGCATGGGAGATGCAGGGCAGAGCCCACAATGGGTTTTCCCAGCGCTCCGCCGCCAGGGAGCACAGGCCAGCAGCCCCCTCTGGTCTAGGGCCCCCTGGGGATTCAACCTCCCCCTCCTGGCAGCTCCCCTGGGAGCAGCTTTATCTGAGGAAGCAGGTTGGGGGGTTCAGCTGCTGCTTTTGCCTGCCACGGGAGCACGTCACAGAAGGATTAAGGGCTTAGTTCTTGCAGGGAAACTGAGGCATGGGAAAGGGACTGGGGCCAGCCAGTGGCAAGGCAGTGGGCTGAGTGCAGTCCTTCCAACACAAGCATTTTGTCCACCAGGCTGTGCTGCCCCAAGGATGGCAGGGGCAGGGGCAGGGGTGGATTTTCCTTTTAAACACAATTCTCTTGTGTGGGGAGTACCGAACATCTCATACGTCATGATTTCCTCCATGGGAGCCGTGCCCGGCCCAGTGTATTGGCCCCTTTGCTGACGGGGAGGGGTGGGCAAGCGCCTGTAACACCACTTTCATCTTGGCCCCTCACCTGGTGGCTGTAAATCCCAGGCTTAGGAGCTGTTGACGCAGCACGGCTGCGTATGGGATCGTATGAAACACTTGTCACTGGCTGGGGCAGGTGGCGAGTGGTGCTGGATGTTTGGAATGGCTCGGTGCGCACCAGCCCCCCCGGGCTGGACTGGCTGGGGGGCCGGGGGGGGGGGGG